TATATATATAAATTATATATATATATATATATATATGAACAAATTTAGATAAACCCAAAATCTCTAACCAGTTAAGTTTTGAAGCTAACCTGTATGCTGAATTACACAAACGTGAGACTGTACAAGTTTTATCATGATTGGGCTGTAAAATGTTCAGGTTTCTGTAGGAAGCGCACAAAATCCTCATCGGGAAGGTAGCAACGGAGGAAAACCTGGATTATTTCAAACTCAGACAGACCATTCGTGTGAGGAAAGAAATTCAGTGGTTGAAGAGAATTAAAAAATGATTGTAGGAGTGTTCCTCACGTGAAGCCAAGTTTCAAGATTGGGAAACCAAAGACTGAAAGCAATAAAGAGAGAGAAACGAGAGGAACCGGTGGTTTGTCAGATGACGACACTAATGTGAAATGCTTGAACACTGTTTGAGAGCGACACCTGTATTTTGTAAATTGTAAATAAACTCGCTAAGGCAGCTCCTCGCAGAAGCAGGGTCTTCTCTTGGTGCTGGCTCTCCAAGCGCTGAGAGAACTTCAATTTGTCTACTTGTCTTACTTTTTCTCTCCTTCCAGCATGAGGTAACTCTTTATTATCTCCACTCGCATTTAAATCATCAGGGTTGAACTCCTAATTTTGGCATAATTGTGGTGGTGTATGTAGCTGCAGCTGGATGTTTTAACTGCCTGGTGATGGCAGCCAAACTGATGTTTGTAACTCATTACGTTACATTATTTATTTCTCCATTAGATGCTACAACACGAGACACAAATGTTTTACTGTATCCCTAAAACAACTCTTTGAAAAGCACAAAAACGATAAAGTTAGAAATGATAATGGGTGCAAACTGAGTTGAAGTTAAACTAGTTTTAAAAGCTGAAATGATTTGTGGTTAATTTACTGCAGCGATTTTGATAAAGGATCAATTTGTTTAATTTACCAAGCACAAATGTTAAATATTTTCTAGCTCCAGTTTTTTTAAATTCTGAGCAATTTCTGCTTTTCTTTATCTTCTGCATAGTAAATTGAATATTTTTGTTTTTTGACCGACAAAATGAGCAATTTAGGAAATTCTGATGAGCATCTTTCACCATGTTCTAATATTTTATGGCCTAAATGATCAACCAGTACCTACACTAAAATGATACCTTTTTCCATACCGTACAGAATATAATATAAACATGAATTATGAACATTTTTTTCCCCCCATTTAAAACAAAAAGTCAAAATTGTTAAATGTTTTGTTAACACACGCAGCTGTAAAAGAACTGAGAGTACAAGAACAAGAGTCTAAAATGTTTGATTTAAAAGTTAAACTGATCAAATTAAAGGCTATAACAAATCTAGACAGTTTTTTGTCAGCACTAAACCAGTGTTGCTGTCGGATGCAGAAACTCCTGCAGATGCTGAGGTAACCTGTGGTAAGTGTATTGCAGGTGTCTCAACCAACCATCAGGGGTCGCTAACGCAGGGGAATCCTCACTGGTTACAAAGGTTGCTCAGTCTGTTGGTATGCACAGATCTCAGCACTGTTATGATAACCAATGGGACTGATTGTCAGCACTACAGAGATAATACGCAGGTTGTAAAAGCTTTACAGTATCTGATACAAGTGACAATATTAGTTTACAGCAGTATTTATGTGTTTGGCTGGAGGCAGGAAACATGTTGATGGAAAACTACTGAAGACTCGCTCCAGTTTCTGAAGCTGTGAGGATTCACTTTGTTCTGTTTTATATCAATTTCAAAGTTTTGTAGACCAAATTAATTAATGAAAGGATGAAAATCATTGATAGGTTTAACATTAATAAAAAATAATTGTTAATTTCGTCCCTATAATAAATATTTAATATCAAACTCAATGGGACTTACTTTACTACAGGTTATATTCTCAACATAAGAAACAAAAGGAGAGTTCTATTTGAATCACACAGTATTTCTAATGTACAGATCCAAGTGTAACAAACTATTTTAACTATCTCAATTAGCAAAACTGCAGAATAATTGCTCAATGGTGACAGAAGAGCAAAAAGCTGTGGTTGAGATTATAAAATAGTTGTCCTCTCAGGCCCTCCGTAGTTTAACTGCAGTTTTCTGTAGAGATGAAGCTTCCTTGCTGCCGTCTCTGAGAGCTGACAGGCAGATGTCTCCACAGAGAGACTGACAGAAAGCAGCACCTCCACCTTCCTGCTGCAGCAGATCCCGTTTCACTCGAGGCCCCGTGTTTGTTGTCATTCCCCGCGGCCTACAAGCTAAAATGCTGTCTTTCATGTTCTCTCGTCTTAACTCTACCCCCCCTTTTACCGTCCCATTCCTCCCTCTGTTGTTCCCTTTCAGCGTCCGTGCTCTGAAACGTAAGCCGATCTATTTAGTCGGACAGGAAGGTTCTTGGCAAGTGAGGTCAGGCCCTCGTCTGGAGGGCGCATGGCGGCAGGTCTGGTCAGAGCCAAGGTCAACATCAGGCGTGTGTGTGTTGATGACATACAAAGACAAATGAGATGACGGAAACCCAACTCTGCACATCCCTCCCGTTGGGTAAATGTGTGTATGTTTAGCTGGAGAAGAAAAAGGAGAGATTTGAAAAACAACGCTCCTCCCCGCCATCCCCTCGGTTTTGATAAATGGTGTTTCTCTGGTGTCTAATCTCTCCATCGGTGACGCTCCGCCTGCAGGTCACACAAATACAGACGATACCGCGCTCCATATCACCGTAAGGATGAGTATAAACAGCATTAATCATAATTCAGGTTGGCAATGCGGCATGTCGCAGTGCCCTCCCACCATGTGCCAGCATGTTTTACAGTTGGACCACTCCAGAGGAACACACCCTGAAACCACCCTCCTGTGCAGTGACATATTACACTCCACAGACATCATCCACTTCAAATTGGAAACCTCGGTGAACCCACTTAACACACCTCTATACATGTGTATATCTTAAACTGTTGAGATTACCAATCCTTTATATTAACTTCAAACCTGAAAATGTTCAACCAATCTTTGGCCAACTTGCTTTGTGTTTTAACCTTTTTCTTTTTTGTAGAGGCCAGACTTTTGATTGAGTTGTTCTCCATTATTACTGACAAGCAGGATGCAGTGATGTGGGTAAGTCTGTGGTTCGTTGGTTGGACAGTCCAACACTGGTCACATCTTTATGAGATGTAGTGTGAATATTCTTGATCCCCAGAGGGTGAATCCCCCCTAACCTTTCCATATCTGCCACCACCAGACCCAAAGGTTTACATGATAATGGTGCAAGAAGAAAAGCTCATAGATCTCCAAAGTCATTACAACTCACCCTGAGAGGAACATGTATGTCTGAACCAAATTTCATGACGATCCTTCCGACGTTAGTCGAGGCATTTCATTCAAAACCACGGTGAAGCTAAAGGTAAAATCAGAGGATGACCAAAGTTATTATGATTTATCATCTTGGAACCATGAATACATGTCCAAAAGTTAATTTCAATCCATCCAGTACTTTTCAGATTTCCGTCTGGACTAGTCTGAACGCATCCCATAAATATTGCTGCCTTTAGGGGGTGTTTGCCAGAATCAGAATCAGAATTGGGTTTATTGTCAAGTAGGTTTTCTCATGCAAGGAATTTGTCTTGGTAAATTGGTGCATTACAATAAAAATAAATATAAAAATAGAGACAATATGTACAATATGACCGTTATTTAAGTAAATGAATAAAGAGCTGTACAGTTTGCAAGACTCTTATTTGATATAAAAGATACTGTATTGGCTGACTGTTTACCAGAAAATTACACTAAATTGTAAGTAAAATGTAGATAAGTTGTCTGGCAACTAACTTTTCTACAGCACATTTTTTAAGGAATTTGGATTACTGTACAAATATCCTTCTACACAAGATCCTCATTCTTGAATTCTAACCAGATGCATGAAACAGTGCAGTGCAGCAATAAAAATTAGATGCATAAACAGGCAAAGAATGGAGATTGTGTGGCATTAAAAAAAAGCTCAACTGGATGGAATTAGCCCATTAATCAATTTGAGCTGCTACAAATACAAATACACCAACGCAAAAATGAGCATTTATTGTCTCCTTAGAGTGTCTTCGTGGACATATTAGCCCGTGTTTACTGAAGGCTTTTTATTCTTAACCACCCACTTTAGTGCCTCCAGTTGGATTTTTCTGCCACTCCCTGCCTGTGGATGAAGGCCCAATTATTTCCTCTTATCTTCCTCTTTAAATTATTTTTTTCCCCAATAGATGCACTAGCGGGTGTAGGGCAGGGGTCAGCAACCTTAACTATCAAAAGAAACATTTTTGGCCCAAAAAAATGTAATGTATATATTTTTAGAGCCTTATAATGCTAATTTCTTGCCACAGATGAAGCGTACTCGTAAGCAAATGTGTCTGTGCACTTTTAAGTTCTCTATCTTCCTCTGAGACTTTTTTGGGATTTGGAATCAATTGCCTGTCTTATTATGGAGACTCATGTGGCCACTATTATTGATGAAAGGGTGTCAGGTAGGACGTAACATATGAGGCACATTCTAGTTGGCAAAATGTTTTAAAAAATACATTTACACGATGTGTAGTGTCTACACATTTTTACAAATGGAGAATGTAAGAATTGCTGTAGGCCTACAACAATGATAAAGAATAACTGTTATTCATTTCCAAATAATTTCTTTGTACAAGCCACTGGAGAGGGGCTAAACACCTGCAGGTTGCCCACCCCTAGTGCACAGGGCTGTTACCATTTTATCTTCATACCAGTTTAAATTCCTGCAGTTTACTCACCAAAACAATAGCTGACATGCATCTTTTTCATACTGTACTTTTAAGTTTTCCTAGTAAGAAACGTGATCTTGCATTGTCGGTTAATCATCTTCATCAGCTTTGTTTTAAGTGCCTTGCTCAAGAGCACATGGCTATCAGCGGCTGATGGAAGCAGGAGCATTACTCACTCACTTCTCCTGCCCAAATTTTCCCAGCTGGTTGCAGGACTCAAATTAATGAGTCTAATGATTTTTAGTGAGACGCACACTGCAATTTATGTGTGTTATTGTAAACGCTGACAGTTTAGGATAAATCTCTGTGGGTAGCATTGGATAAACACTGTATACTCATGTATCTTCCCAGAAACATAACGTTTTTGACCCAGAAAGCTGCACCAGTGAATGGATAAATGTGGATCACAGGATAAATATTTAGATATCTCGGGCTGATGGACGAGCCAAAGCCGTTCTTTTGGCTGGCCTTCCTCCCGTCTCCCATCCCGGGACACGGGAAACCAGTTAAAAAGACATTTCCAAACATCCATGTCCATTGCAAAATCTATTACGCTGACGTCAGTAAGCATTACATGTGAGCTGACTAAGAAGACACTGTGCAGTCTCTGAAGAGCACTTTACACTAAAGCTTGTAGGTGTCAAATTTTCAATTGGTGGATTTCTCATTTAAGAGCCAAACTCCCACAGGCTGCAATCTGCAGAGATCAGCACAGAGGAGTTCACGCTGATATTTAGCAGAGTTTGGACTAACGTGGATGTTAAATCTGACCATTTATTAAGACCCGAAGGAAACTGCAGTAGGTTACTAAATTCAGATCATTGGACGGATGGAAAATAGAGAAAAAACATTTGAGGATTCAGCCGGTCTCAGACGCTTTCTCAACAGTTGAAACTGAAATATTGCAGCAACAGCAGTTCGTTCCAACTGAATCACTGTTATAAGTGGATTTGCTTTCAGGGTCGAAGTAAATCTGTCTAAATATTTTGCATAATTCAACTGTGGTAAACTTTAATGTGCACACTTGACAGTACTGACTTGTGATGGAGGAAGCTATCGTAGCGTGTTAGCTGCGTTATGAGACTCCTGTCGTATAAATGTCTGCAAACCATTCCTCTTTAGTGGAGAAGTTTATACAACGACAGTGGAGCTTAAATAAAAGTGGGTGGTGCAACACAGCTAATAAGCTACGATAGCCTCCTACATTTCAAACATCCCTCAAAGGTCAAGACGGTTCGCTTTTGGTCAACAGTGCAAATTCATGCATCTGATTTTGACAGAAGATTTCCATGGAATGACTTTCCCCAGCGAGCGTGTGCGCTGATTGCAGCATTTCCACTGAGATGATGTGATATTACTGCAAAATTTCACAGCCATGGTTAAAACGAAAGAGCCCTCTCATTTAAGTTAATGGAGACGGTTTAGTTAACACAACGATGAGGGTCGCAGCAAAGTTGAACCTGGTTCAGCTTCAGCTGAAACTCGTATGCTACTATTACTGTTGACCTTGTGCTCTTCAAAACAAAAGATAAAATAGTTGCCGCCATAACGTTTTTTTATAACACAGAACCATCTGGGAAGTCGTCCTTAGAAACTGAAGAAGGGCAGACACTTGATATAACTGTAACTGATGTTAGCAGCATCTACGCTAACCTCTTTAGCGGTCGCCATTGTTGTTTTAGAGCAAGCAGTCGCTTCTCGCTGCGCCGCACAGCTAGTGGTTCCTCAAAGGACGCTTGAAGGCTGGCGAGACGGATCCCTGCATCATTTCTTGATCTTGTAAATCCTGTTGCCTCACAAGGTAAAATTGTGTCTGTGATAACTGCAAACTGCTGTGTAATGTTTTGTCATCTGATAAGGTCTCAAACTGGACTTCCTAGATCATATCTTATGTCGCACACGCCCCCCACCAACGCAGGAGCCCCTTACCTGACACTCAGGACGGTCCTGCTCCATCAGTTAATCTTTATTTAATTATTATTTACTAAAATTAGACAGAAAATCAGGGTCTTTATTCTAGCACTGACAAATTGTGCATATTGTTGCAGAGAATGAGTGTGGGGGGGTTATTGGGTACCAGCAGCTCATTTCTGCCCCATGGCCCTCTAGCAGGTTCTTCCGGCCCTGAATGTTAGCAGCGATATCAGCAGTTGGAGCTGTTGCAGTAATGGTAGTATGATTGCTAGTAGGGGTAAGTGCAGTGGTACTGTTAGTGGTTGCATTAGTAGCAGGAGCAGCAGTAACAGCACTGTAACATACAGTAGGCTGTGAGGCCTCTGCTGTAAGTTAAAGTGTCTCTATGTGTGATTGCAGCCTGTCTGGGCCTGCCAGTACTCAGCACTGCAGCCCGAGCGGCTCATTGATCGTCCTCTCATAGGCGGAGTGTCGCTGCTTGATGACCAATCGTAAGACGAGTGGAGGAAGCAGCACATACAGCAGCTTCTGCAACAACATGTGGGTGTTGTGACAGAAACAGAGAGAGCGAGCCAAGAAACAGTCTCCAAACTGCTAATGAAAGAGAGGAGACGAGAAACATTAACAGATTATTTTTATTAGTCTCAATTGAGCTCTTGAATCTTTTTCTGAGAGCAATTAAACTAAAGCGTTCTCATGTTAGAGCAATAGAGACATAACCTACATTTAATAGAATTATATTAACACTGTTGGTCAGTGGACACTGGAGCTGAAAATGCTTTATTAAGTTTGATATGTGGCACAAACATTTAAACTATGATCTCATAGAAAATGTTTTTGATGATATTTTTGTATATTGGATGGCAGCTTTAAACAGCATTATAATTTTCTACTTTCTGATAACATATATATCTGTTTTGAAGCTCTCCACAGAGCTTCTACTCTTCATGTTAGTGATGAAAATAGTCCAGCACTGAGAGGGTTATGTGTGGGTACTGCTAACATGTTTGGTTTAAACCTAATCAAACAAATGACTAATAACTTTTGGGAATTTTCCACAGAAACGGTGAGTGTTTACTTAATAAAAAGATAGAGTCTAATTATTCCTGATCTAACAGTGATTTCTGGGTCTAATAAGAATCATACACTTCTGTTCCCACAGCATCCATCATCGATTTCCCTAAATAATATTTAAAACTTACTTGTTTTTTGCTAGGGAATTATTTAAAACCTTAAAACTCCCCTGATAACAGAGGTGAATCCTCCACATAGCCTAATGAATTTACTGATGATTTTTGTAAATACTATTTAATTAGTTTCTTTTTTAAATTTTACTCAGTTATTCAGCAAGGGTGAGTCACTTTTAGCCACTTTAGGAGAAGTTGTGTCACTTTGTGTCCATGTTTTTAGTGCAAAATCCCAATAATGTGACCATCAGCTTGGCTGGATCTACTTTCAGGGTGTGTGACGAGTGTAACCGGGGGGAGGCCAAGAGTGCCGGTTCCTAACTGATGTGAATGCCAGATAGGATACTATTTATTGACAAGCGATGATCCAAGGTAAGTATTTTATGCACAAAGAGATTTTATGAGCTGGTGAAATACAAAAAAGAGCTGATAATAAGATTGGAAACATACTCAGAGAAGAGATATATCACACAGATTTCTTGTGTCTGTGGTGAGATTAAGAGCCTGTTCTCTTCTAAAGCAAACTACCAATGTGATTTCTATTAGCACGACTTACAGAAAAGGGTTAATCTGAAAAAAAACAAAACGAGTGCAATCCAAGAGAGATTCAACAAATCAGAGTTTGAAAGTCAAACACATCAATACACACCCACATGCACACACAGCTACTGTACACAGGGCGATGACTGCTGTCAGAGTCAGAGAGCAGCTGTGGTTCACTGTAGGATCAACAAACTACCAGATGAAGCAAATATAAAAACTGTGACGCATGTTTGTGTGTGTGTGAGTAAGAGTGAGCCTTCAGACATCCTAATACCTTTTCTGTTACCACCCTCCATGTTGGTGTGATCAGTGTTATTACAGAAGTAGGTTTGACAGCAGGAATAATGGTTTAAAGCAGAAACACCACTTCTTTTGTGGATAATAGTAGTATTAGCAGTGGTGGAATGAAAGTGCTGTACTTAAATACAACTTGAGGAACATTTTCTGCTACTTTATACTCCTAGTTTAGGGGCAAAAAATGCTCCTTTTTTTATAAATAGTTACTTTACAGAGTAAGATTTCACAAACAAAATATACGACCACTTTTAAAATATGAAGCATTTTGTATAGATTGAACTTTGCAACAGCAGATGAAGTAGCTACAACAGGAAAATAGATAAAAATAAATAGCGTCACATATAATAATGTAACTCTGATAGAGGTCTGTTTTTTCTGTATGTGGTTAAACTTTACTGATAATACTGTCTAAGCTTTTACTGTAGGGAGATTTTGAGTGCAGGACTTTTCTTGTAATGGAGTATTTTCACAATATGGTGCTTTTTACTTGAGTAAAGAATCTTTAGTGTTAGAAATCAACTTTCTGGTATAAACAGATGCAATAACAGTTATAGAAGTGTCATAGTACGAGTTAATAATAACTTTTTAGGATGATGTTGATTTGTTTTAAGTTATTTTTAATGTAAAAGTGGACAAATCTAAATAAATATAAGTTATTAGAAATATTATTGAGCTAATTATTATTATTATTATTATTATTATCGCTGTCTCTAGCTGGTAGTGGTGTTTACCTGCCAGACGCCTCTCTGTCTCGTCTTTATTTGCGTCCATCAGTCTCTGTCCTGTGGCCGGGCAGCACCTCAGGGCGCAGCGCTTATCTGCTCTCTGTTTACCTCTCAATTAATCCCCATTAGTAAGAAGAAGGCATTAGGCTGTTTTGTCCCAAACAGGAGATCAGCTGGTTAACAGCTCAGACTGACAGATCTCAATCTGAGCGCAGAGACCGGCAGTCTGGCACAGAGAGGAGCCGCACTGATCACTGCCGATAACAGCGATTTTTATTAGTGCTTATTTGTTCTATCAGATGTTAATACATCAGCTTTAATTCAGTTACATTTAGAGGGATAAAGTGTGCGTAAAGTGGCTAAATTATTTCTGGAGTCAATGGTCAGGAAATAATAACTTATTTTAAAGCCGTATTAACTGATGAGCGTTTATGAGACAATGTTTCCTTCCAAAAATGACCATTTATCATATTAATGACCTACTGAACTCCTCTCAGTCACCAGAGCTGCTCCACTTTATCCCAGAAACCCGTCTGAATGAGTATAAACGGGGTCTGGGGGTTTCAGTGGGAGATGGTTTAGTAAATGTGGCTCCTGCTGTTTGTTCTCAGTCTTACCTGCTGTGTCACATTAGGACACAAGTGTGGGTGTAATTATACAAGAATGGGTTTGGGAAACAACTGTTCTCAGGCCGGAGGAACAATTACGCGCAGAGAAAAACAGCAATTGATGCTTTCCCTCCCTACTTTTCACACAACTTCCACGATCATTTATCATCTGGAGATTTATTCCAGCAAATAAGTTGTCAGGTTTTGATCCCATAAACGATTAAAAAAACGTTTGAGACGAGTTTGGTCTTAAATTGACCCCCTGCCTGTGGTTTTTTTTACCCCCTGTGTGTGCGTAATTGCTAATTAACAGCGCCAATTAGGCTGCTCCACCTTAACTAAAGAAGAATTCTAGCCTCCTAAGCATCTCTCTTTTCTTTAACCAAATTAGGGCTTCAACTTGTTTCCCCTGCTTATATCTGTTCATTATTTTATTTTTTTTCGAATGATTCCGTTTTTAAAATGTCTGAAAATAGTAAAAGAAAAATCTTCCTAGAAGCCAAAGTGAAGATGATCTTTTCAAATGACTTGTTTTGTCTGACCAACAGTCCAAAACTCCCCAAAATATTAAATTTACAATGATATAAAAGAGAGGAAAGCAAATTCTCACATTTCAGACGCTGGAATTAAATAAAGTTTTGTTTTTTCTCTTGATAAATGTCAGTTATTCGAGTTATTATTTCAACGTTAAACCAAACGTTGACCAAAATAAAACCTATATTTCATTTGGTTTGGGATCATTTATCCTATTGACTCAATAACTGGCCACAGAATCCATAACAAGAGCAAAGTACTGCTATAATATCCCAGTCAGAACTTTACTTTCCTCTGCAATCACTGTAATATTCGAGTTATTCTGTGGATTTTTGTTCAATTTCCTGTCGATATGTATTATAGGATCACTGCAGTCGTTTTCCCGTCCACGATTAGACTGTTACCTGTGAGAATAACGCCGGCCTGAGCTGAAATTACCCCCTTAAACTGAAATAATAGCCTACAGGACACGACCCTCGCTCCCTCCTCCTCAACGGGCTCCCCCTTAAAATTCTCCCGTCCATTTTCCTCATTGGGATAAATGGTGAAACTTGTAGCAATAATACCCCCTTCTTTCACACAAACGCCTCCCCGCTGCCATCACCTCCAGCCCGGCTGCCCCCGAAGCCTCACGGCTGGGGATCTCGGAGAGCCTTTCTCCGCGAACAAAAAAAGCCTCCTGAAGGGGAACAAAAGTGACCACATTTTTCCTCCGTGTCCCCTTCTCTGCGCAGAATAACCCGCTGCCTGTCCCTCAAATGGGAATATTAGGACGTCAATCTCACGGCCCCTGTGCGCTTTTGTCTTTGCTGAGTGCCCGGCTCTGCCTACCACACACCTTTTGTCCGACAATCCAATAAGAGCCATTATTCCCGCTCCCTTGCCCGGCTGCAACTCGCTCTTCGGGGGTATTTTAGGTGCTTAATCGCGTCCTTTAAAGGACCTCAAATGGAGAATAACTTCCTCCTTTCACGTCGCCTGGCACTGGGACAAAGAGTTCCTGTGGCCTGGCCTCCTCCAGCAGCTCTCCCCTTAATATGTTTATGAGCAAAATTTGCCTCCGTGAGTCTGACCCTGCATGGGTGCAATAGTATATGGATTATTATTATTCTTTCTTTTCATTATTTAGGGAAAAATACACTTTCAGTTCTGTGACGGTGTGTTTTGCCATTGAAATTGTAACATTCCAAGCCCTCCTTTTCCCCCAGCAACACACTGAAAGTTGTTGTTGCCCGAATACAGAATCAAACGCACCTCATTCTCATTTCTCTGATTTATTTGAATAGATGTGAAATAGACTAAAACAATTCTCTGTTGAACCAAAAAAAAAAACACTTTGAAGCAATCTCTCCATAACCTAAAAATATACCATGTTAAAAACAAACATTTAAAAAAAATTCAATAATCTTTTTGAGTTCAAATAAGGAGAAATGCGCAAACTTGTGCGTAATTTCCCGTCTGCGCTTCAGTCCGACCAGTGCCAAACTAGAGCACCAACAATTATTGGATCACAAAATGAAATTTCACCCAAGCTGTGACTGTGTGACGTCCAGACTTTACGCACACTAATCTCGGTTTTAATACACTTGAAGTAGCCGCAAAAATCGAGTGAAATTTCATCTCATCTGGCAGCTGAATCCAAACTCACGTCCATTATATAAGCAATACGGTTTTCTGAGGCGTTTTGACCAAGTTAACATACTCTTGTGGGTTGACCAAAATGAAAGAGCTCCATTAAAAAAATTTAAAAAAAAGAGACACTAGTACTGTTCTGGTGAGGCTACCAGGCCCGGATCCCCTGCAGGGAGCCCTGACAGGATGTGACCGCTGTCCCTTGATGTGTTTGAGCCTGTGGGGAGCCGCCGAGGCCGCTCACGTTACCCAAGTTCATGTTCATGAAGGCATTGGAGGTGCTGGACGGAGGAAGGGCCGGGATGCTGGTGTACGTGCAGCTGTAGTTGCTGTTGTAAGCGGGGCTGTTGTATGTGTACGCTGGGTATCCGTTATAACTGTACGGGTTGGATCCGTACGGAGCAGCGGCGCCGGCGTAGCTCTGCGCACCGCCCAGACACGGCTTCCCATCTCGGACCAGCACCGGCACGGCGACGCGCCGGGGCGGAGGAGGGTGGTGCTGTCCCACCACCTCCAGAGACTTGTCCTGCCGCTGCCGTTTGCACTTGTAGCGGCGGTTCTGGAACCAGCCTGGTCGAGGTGAGTGTGCTGAGGGTGGTCGGGCAGGTGCTCCCGCTCGCGGGGCGGACAGGTAGCGCTGTTGAAGCGCCGCTCCAGCTCGAAGACCTGCGCCTGGGAGAAGAGCACCCTGGGTCTCCGCCGGCTCCTCTGCTTCTGCGCCGGCCGCTCTGGGTCGCCCTGCCCGCACTCCGCTGCCTCCTCCCGGGACACCAAACCACAGCTCTCTGGGCAGGTTGGAAGGTCACATAAGAAGTGTTAATATCTCTGGACTCTAATGATGAAATGTTTCCCACCAATGCGTAAAAAAAAAGAATATTATGCAGTTTATTATTAGACTTATTGTAGACTTATTATCCCAGTCTACAGCCAATACACCTTTTGGAAGATTTTGACCAAAAGCCAGCACATTTCAGCAAATACCTTACCTAACAGTGCAGACACAACACTTACACACGGAACATTTCTTTTGAAATCATGTTACAGCAGCCTGTAGCCGCAGTGCACAACAAAAAAAGCTCAGAAATTAGACAATAAAATATAAAACACCAGGGAGGCTGCCACACACTTTTACACAGTTTTAGGCAAAAAGTTACATTTTCTAGTGACTTGCTGCACTTAGAAACCCAAAATCCAACCTCACTCTTTTACCTGTTTACGTCTAACGAATAATCACGTGTGCCATGTGAGGAAGAAGTGTGTTTATTAGCGCTACTTCGCGGTGTCATTTCTTTTACAAGCCTCTTTAAACTAATTGTCGGTTTATGGTCCACACATCATAACAGACTCGGTATAACAGGCGCGCAGCCGAACCACTAGAAAGTGTTTGACATTTCCAGACTTTACTGGATGCGTCTCAGGCCTCTGGCCGCGGTGATACTGACTTCCACCGTTTCATAGCTGTTTATTGGGATAATGTCTGTCCTAACCAATCTATTTTCACTTTACTAAAGGGGGGTTTATCTTAATTTTCTTCACTTTTGCACATCTTATATTATGAGCTATACAGTGGGGCTCCATCTGTCAAAGGTATATATAATAAAATAAACAATAATTAAAAAACAGCAGAATAATTAGCCGCGAAAAATCTGCAGAATTATATATAGAAAATGACACAAAACATATATTTTTCTTCCCCCCAGTTGACTTAAAATATGTTTGACGCTTAAATTGTAAATTACATATTATATGAATAATAATCTATTACAAAAATATTACATAATAATTTAAAAAAATAAACTACATTTTGTATAACAACTGGAACATTTCTACTGTGCTGTGGCAGCAGTTTGGGTAAAGTTTGGTCAGGTTGTTTTGTTTTTGTGGCTAAACATGCAAATTATTTTACAGCCACAGAAAACAAAAAGGGTTTAACATTTAAAACAGCTGCTTACATCTGTAGTTAATGCTGTGGCACATTTCCTCTGTGAGACATTAGATGTGAAATGAGGTTGATAATAATTGTTACACGTGTCCTTTGTTGCCTTTTGTCTGGCCTGTACAGTAGCAGCTAGTGCTTTCAACTCACTGCTCTCCTGCTCGTCCAGCTCGGCGGCCTCCAGCTTGGCTCCCTGCAGGCCGGGGTGGACGTACATGTCCGGGGACAGGCTGGTCTCCCCGCGGTCCTCCTCCCGCACCGCCAGCGCGCTGAGGTAGGCCAGGTTGTCCTCTCCGTCCGAAAAAGGAGGACTGTCCCGGGCCCCGGCGAGCATGCAGGACGGCGGGGTTTGGAAATGCTGCTGCTGGGAAGGAGACCCGGCCAACTGCTGCTGAGTGTGGGCCCGGTGCTGGAGCTCCAGGGACCCGGACTGCTGCTGCTGCTGCTGCTGCTGCTGCTGCTCCAGCTTGAGGATATCCTTGACAGAAAACGGCGTGGAGGTGAGCGGGCTCTGCAGCATCATGTCATCCAGCTCCTGCTCTGCAGCACCGAGGAAATGAAGCCCACCGAGTAACATGCACACCCCTTTCTCCTTTTCCACTCTTTCTCTAACAAATAATTGAGCTTAATAGCCCTTTCTTTGGTAATTGGAGGTGCGTTAAGCCTCTGGAATCCCTCATCGCCGTAAATCGCACGAAAACATGGGTAATGTCCCGGTTTTGTCCATGCAGGTCTCCTCTCTGACAGATATAATGTCGGGCTTTGTAAGTGGAGTTTGGACCGGGGCGAAGGAGCGCCTCTGCCTCCTCTGATGTCAGGGGGAGGGGTGTGTGAAATGGAAAGTCTGTGTGAGCTGGAGGGGAAGCATTTGGGAGAGAGAGAGAGAGAGTGAGAGAGAGAGATTCTGGGAGAGGGAAGGTGGGGCGTACGTGACGTATGTTTACGTACCGTTTTGTTGTCGGCCTTGTGTGAATATGGTGGACTCAGAATTGTACTGACTCGCTGCTCCTCCACGTTTATCCTTCTGTACTCGCTAAATTTGGCCCCTCGCAGCTTTTTTACGCACATATTTTGTTCCAAGACGTACGTTAATGGCTCTTGCCCTGCGACTGCACACATGTGACATATCTGTTTACTTTGCCTTTTATTTTCAAAACACGTTATTTGCAATTTTCATCATTCCATAATTCCATAATTCCATCATTCATCATTTCATCAGGGGGTACTTGTGTGGATCGTGCGTAAATCTGTGCGCTCTTTGGAGAGGCGCAGCAGGCGGCCCACTTGCTGCAAGAACGGTGGCACGTCAAGGTCAACGGTCAGGTCAAGGGATAATAGAGTCAGAGGGAACCTCTTTGCCTCGTAGTTTAACTTCACCCAGTGATTGAATGATAAAGCAACAGTGGGGTTTCCATCACCTCGCTGACCGTCAGTACGCAAAACAAACGCTGGTTGATTTTGGTTGGTGTTTTCTGGATATATAAAAGAGGGGATGATATTGTTTGGCTTAAAGTGGTCGTAATTAATTTTAAAAAAAAGACAGAAAATGTTTGATTTTTGTATATTCTGTTACAATATGGCCCCAAAACCAAACTCCTAGTCTAAAAGATCCTCTTATATTTGCAGAAAGACATCCGTTTACTCAGTTAACTGTTGTGGAGGCCGCTCCCATCGGGGGCTCCTTACAAGGACATGTTACAGTAAGATTTACTCTAACTCTTAATTTCAGAGGAGATGGTTTCCAAAGACACCAACAAGTGAAATGTGTATAAATTACTCCAGAACACACATCATTTCCCATCCATAGCCGAGCCATTAAACTCTTCCTGCTTGCTTTGAATGATTCGTTTTTCTCTCGTAATAAAGCTCCAATGAAGCACCAGTAATGAAACCACACATAGGGAACTTTAATGTGTGTTAGATTTGTCCCTGCAGCCCTGCCGTCCAGCAGCAGCCGGCTGCCCTCGGTGTCCCTCCGTCCTCTTTATCGCGGGTGTTGTATTAATAACCGCCCTGGGCCGATAAGCAGGGCCCCCTGGGGCAATTAAGATTCCTCCAGGAAAACTAGCCGACGTTTTTAGCCCGGCCTAATCTGCTCCTATCAGCTCCTATTTCCGTTTTCCAGCGGGACCCCTCGCCTCTGTCACCCCGCTCCCTCCGCGCCTCCTGCGGGTTTCTCTAAGAGCAAACAGCCTGTAATATTATCGAACAATAAAATACATTGAAACATAGAGAAATCTAAATTATAGATTTCACTTATTTATTTTATGTCTTGATTTAACACATTGAAAAACAATGTCTGGATAAAGGCCACTTTATTTTTACAGGGACATACCATTAATATATATTATATTACAGTTATATTAAAGAGGCTGAATGAGCTACATGAACTCTTATTGTTATTACTAAGACATTTTCAGACAAATATTAGTTTATGGAGCCAACCAACCTCAGTAAAACTTTATAATTATTTTAAAAATCACAAAACTTCACTTACTTTATTGTCTAAATGATGTTTTAAAACCTCTCCCACACTTCTGTGCAGGTATGTGATTCTGGTGGAGAACTCTAAAACACTTTAAGATTTTTTGTGTGTGACAGAATATAAACTTCTCTTTGTGCCATTAAATATGATGTAGCTACATTCATGATGCCACTCACAGTGTTTCCTACACTGGCCTTTCATTTCAGCAGCCACAGTGTAGTTTGATGCTGATTGAGGTTCCTCTGAGACTCCCTTACATAAAATAGCACAATAATGTCTTATTTAAATCTATTTAAACTCCACAGCAATGATGCATGTACATTTTTCTGCTAAGTGTTCTGCTTAAAAATACTTTTTTTTTTTACATTTTCTTAACATTTCTTTTCTGTAATATATTGTTCTAATGTCTTTTTTAAACAGCTTCACATAAAGAGCTGGAGTATAACAGTTTGTGATTATGATGTGGACGTTGACCCAAATTCCAGAGTTCACCAACATTTTCAGGCAGACATGACACATGAGTATGTTCAGAATATGAAAGTGTGGTAGGGTTTAAAGGTCATCACAATACTTTTATTCTGAAATTGTGCATTGCTTTTACCTTAAGTATCTTTATATTGAGAAGAACTTTTGCCAAAAACTTATTTTCCCCCCAGAATTTAACTTTTTAAGGAAAAACCTCTAAAACAGAAATTATTCAGAGCATGAATGAACATTAAAATTCTCCACACTTGTGAAATAAAACTCTGTCGTTATCTTCTTTTAAACACTTAAGCAACATTAGTTTAATGCTGCTTTAGTGTTTACGACTTTATACACACCAGATAAAATACAGTTGACTATTTTAAACCTTTCTGTCGGGCTTTAAAAACACAACTAAACAGTTTTTTCTGGTATCAAAAAAGAGCATAAAGTGGGCCGAAGCTCTGTTCAGACCTGCTTTAGGCTTAGGGCCCCTCAACCATCTGGGGCCCCCCCAAAAAAATGAATATATGAACGCTTTTTGTGTTCCTTTGTTTGTCTGTTTGAATTATGCATCGTATCAGTGCTCAATATGCATCCTGAATCCTCCAGTTTTGTGAGTTTTAGGGAATAATGTTGCCAAGTTTGCACGCTGGTCTTAATGTCAACATTTTGATCAGATATTTCATTGACACATTTTGATATTGTGAGAAAACTGAAGGTTTTGGGGGTGCTGCACCTCATTTTTGCTTTCTATAAGAAGGGCAGTGTGTAGTGTTATTATATAATTTGGGTATTGGACATTCTCATACTGTAAAGTGAAATCTCCAAACTGAAAAAAACAAACTGGATGGATCCTGCTCGTGGCCTCTCGGAGACCTGGGCTGGGTCTCCCTGTGTTGTAACCCAGCAGGTAGTAAATATCCTGATGTGCAGCTCTATCTATGGAAGCTGGAGACAGACAGATATATATGTGTGGTTGTCCCAGTAGACTTCCCGGCGACTCTCCCCAAATCGTGCTATATCATCATCAGCGCGTCCTCGTAAAAAAGTGCCAAACAAGGCAGGATAGTGTTTAGACTGGCACACGGCCGCCTCCATTTACTTTAAATAAGCATTAAATCCAATGACGCCAGGCTGAGCGCTGTGTTTTCTGTGTGTCAGATGGGCCAACTGTCTACAGCAGCTTATTGGAAAGAAATTAAAACTGTTTTAGTTAAAGTTAAGTGACCGAACGTTTGGTTTTGGTTGGATGGTTATTCTAGGACAAGGTTTCCATACTGGGTTTCAGGGATCTCCAGGAGTCCTTGAGAGGTTTCCAGGTTGGATGAATAGTTCATGTTTAACTTGATCTCAGCTGAAGTTCATAACTCATATTTTGTTTTGTCTGATGTCCAGCAAGAGGAAACTGTGTAGACTCAAAGAAATAAAACCGTGACCAACCTTAACTGAATGAAATAAGTTTACCAAACTGTAAACTAAACTAAAAAAGTGAAGCTGGTGCATGTTTATTAGCTGAAAATGCAGTTTTGTAGTAATGCCACTTTGCACTGACCATAGAAAACCACACATTTGTTGTCATATTACACAGTCCACAGTGTAAACAGCAGCTCCTGTATGGGAGCTCTAGAGGGACCAATTCAAAAGGGTGCCGTTCATTTTTGCTTTGATCTTAAAACTTCTAAGAACCCCCGAAAGAAGCTGAAATTCTTAAATCTGTCACCTTGAACCAGATTTAAGCACAAGTCCTCCAAATTATACAATAAAATGGTACCTAGCCTTTAAAATAGTGGTTCCCAACCTGAGGGTCAGGGCTCCAACTAGGTGTAGAGTTGGCCTCTATTTCAGCATTTAGTTCATTTCTGTGAAGAAAACTAAAAATTAAAACCAGGTGCAATAAAAAGCAATGATTCGATTATTATTTAGGTTATATTCACTCTGCTAAACAGCCTCGACTGGCATAAGAAAAGTTAAAACAAGCAAAGAGCTAATAGAACAATGAGAAGAAAACCCCAAATTTGTCAAAAAAAAGAAGCCTATTAAGTCTGTATGATTATTAAATATTAAATAAATACATAATACAGACAGAGAATTGTATAAAAAGTTACTAACAATATCAGAAAACTTATCTCTGATAAATACTCACAGGAAATAATCTGCTCAAAATGTACAAACGTCCTGCAGTTATTGTGTTCACTGTTTGGGTTCATTGTACAGTTGATCAGTTGTGCTGTTATTGTTATGGATTTAATATAATATGATAATATACATTAAATAAGTCATTTAGTCAGAGGCCATCAGATAGAAAGGGGATCCCTGAAGGAACGACCGCTTTAGAACAACACATAGAAGAGTTTTCTGATTCGACGCCTCAGCAGGACGACATTATTTATCCTCCAAAACTGTTACTGTTGAAATAAAATCTGTTTTTTGATAACCAACATGACGTTTTGGTGAAGGTTAAAAATGTACTTCGTTGTGATGGTTAAAGTTATAACCACTTGCTTGGACCCGTCCATCCACCCCGACCTCCTCAGTCTGTATAACATCACACTGTTTCCTCCTCATCATCACTACGGCCCCTAGAGGCCTGTGTCACTTTGCCATTTGTCTTGAAACGACTCTTTGTTGTTTTCTTGGGTGTTTCTGTTTTTAATTGGATCATTTTTTAGCTGCAAAGGACACGAAAACATAAAAGTTGACCTTTTGTGTCGTAAAAATGTCTCCAATAGTTTGCATCTTTGCACTGATGTTGTTATTGCCCCCGCATTCTACAGCTTTACGGACAGTGTCTAAAAATGGGCCAGTACTTACCACTACTGAGTACACCAAGAGAATTAGGGTTACGGTTGTGTTTAGGGTTCG